GCCGTGGAGTTGCTTCCGACTCATAGCGACCCTGTACAGGGTTTCCGAGGCTGTAAATCTTTATGGGAGCAGAAAGCCTCATCTTTCTCACGCAGAACAGCTGGTACGTTCAAACTGCTGACCATGAGATTAACAGCCCGATACGTAAGCACTACACTGCCAGAGCTCCTTATAAACTAATAAATAGGTGCCAAGAAATTGTAAATAATCTTCTAAAACAAGGTAGCGTCTACATTACTAATATGATTTTAAAAGGGTCTTTATTTCTCCTGGAAGTATTATTCCCTATAGCCATCAATCTAGGTGAAGGGCACACACCACCTCCAAGCCCCACCTTCAGCACCCCTACACCATTGAGTGGATTCTTATTCATCTCCATCCTATAAGACCACAGAAGCAACAATGCATTTGAATTATGGTGCTGATGAAGCATACTGAAAGTACTATGGACTGCCAGAAGAACAAACACATCTGTTTTGGAAGTACAATCAGACTGTTCCTTAGAAGCAAGGATGGAGAGACTTCACCGCTCATATTCTGGACATGTTGGCAGGAGGGCTCAGTCTCTGGAGAAAGACATCATGCTAATAAAAGTAGAGGGTCAGGGAAAAAGAGAAGATCCCAAAGATGTAACACGATGGAATGGCACAGTCGCAGCAACCCTGGGCTGAAACATAACAATTGTGAGGATGGCAGAGGACCACGCAGTGTTTCATTCTGTTGTGTGTAGAGTCGGGACTGACTGGATAGCACCACCATGACCATACCAAAACACATGAAAGCTGAGAACTGGATTAACAGCAAACTCTAGGAAAAACTCTCAAACCCAAGGTCATTTTTTCTGTACCTTAGTAATGTCATCATTACTGCAGTTGACATTGGCACATATCCCGACTCACAGAAAGGAAACAAGCCTTAGAACTAACAAGCCAAGTTGTAAGCAAGGAAAGAAAGTTTGACATCATGTATTTACCCACATTTAAGTTGCTATGGACTCTACTAGAGAAAGGAAACAATCTTTTGTAAAAAATGGTCATCACACATCTTGTCATTACTCCAGAATCAATACTGACCATTAAAAATATTCTCTTTAGAACAGCCATCTCACTGAATGCTTTATATCGCTGACAAGACAATAATATTAACTCATGAAAGAAATCAATTTCTGTTTGAACAGTTAACTCTTTATACCCTTCCATAGAAAAATGAATAGATCTTCTGTTTTTCCTTTAAAATCACTAAGATAAAACACGAGTAATTTTGTAAATTCTATATGGCTCCATAGGATAAGCACTGGACTACAAATAACAAGATCTGAGGTTTGATCCCACCAGGTGCTCCACAGGAGAAAGATGAGGCTTTCTGCTCCCAAGAAGATTTAAAACCTCTGAAAACCACCTCTACAGGGTCCCTATAAGTCAGAACCAATTGGAGGGCACTGTGGGCAGTTGAAACTCATCAGAAGCTCCTCGGAAACCCTGTACAAGGTCGCTGTGGGTCAGAACTGACTTCGCAGCACTTAACAACACAGTTTCTGTGTCATGAGGTTTTCAGTTACATGTAAAATACCATTAATTGAGCCACACATTGAATTACCCTTGTTGAGTGGTTTTCTTGTGCAGACCACAACCTATACAGGTATGTGATTTAATTCTCTCAATTCTTTGGGGCAGCTAGTGGGTAGATAAACAATGTCGTCAATAAAGAACCAATGCTCAATCCCAGACTCTCCAACTCCAAAACCCATGTTTGGAAACACTGCATTAAATTCTACCATGATGGAAAAGGGGTCCAAAGAAAAAGACACATATTAATCGTATTCTTCACAGCTTTAGGCTCTTTTACCAAGTTATTTATCTAATTTGCATTGCTTATATCACAACCCTAAACCAAACCCTGTATGTTGTTGTTGTTGTTAGGTGCTGTGGAGTCAGTTCCGACTCATAGTGACCCTGTACAGGGTTTCCGAGGTTGTAAATCTTTACAGGAGCAGAAAGCCTCATCTTTCTCCCGCGTAACAGCTAGTAGTTTCGAACTGCTGACCTTGCGGTTTACAGACCGATTTGTAACCACTACGCTAACTAATTTTAAAACAAAAGTTAAAAGGAGTATTCTTGGAGGAATTAGTGCCACAACACCTGGTAAGGTACAAATCACTTTATCACTTATTAGTAAGTCTACAAGATGGTGCATGCCACCTGAAGTCATTTAAGTTTTGTATTACCATGTTTCCTTTATCACATAATGTAAAGTTGTAGTTTCCCTTTTTCTAGTTGTTGTCGTTGTTAAGTGCCATTGAGTCAGTTCTGACCCACAGCGACCTTGTATAGGGTTTCCGAGGAGTGGCTGGTGAGCCTAAACTGCCCACCTTGAGGTTCAAACAATTTTGAAGTCCAAGGTATTAACCCATAGTGCCACACCGGGACTCCCTTTTTCTAGTTGTTAAGTGCCATCGAGTTGGTTCCGACCCATAGCGACCTTGTGTAGGGGCTTTTGAGGAGCAGCTGGTGAGCTTGAACTGCCGACCTTGCAGTCTGGCACATTAACCCACAGCGCCATACTTTTTCCTAGTTGTTGTTAAGTGTCGTCGAGTGGATTACGACCCATAGTGACCCTGTACAGGGTTTCCAAGGCTGTAAATCTTGACGGGAGTAGAAAGCCTCATCTTTCTTCCGCGAAGCGGCTGGTAGTTTCGAACTGCTGACCTAAGGTTCGCAGCCCAATTCATAACCACTACGCTACCAAGCTCCATACTTTTTTTAACAATCAGGGTTAATTCAAAATGTGTGAAATTTCAACAACTCAGCGCATCTATCTAGCAGAGCCAGTAACTCACCAAGCCTGTTTTTGTTGTAGTCATCAGAAAGAATCACAATGCATTAATTCGTTCCTAAAAGGTGTTTTTGCATTAGCTAAAAATTTTTGAATAAGTTCAACATTTTAAAGTAGGTTCCCTCCAAAAAATGGTTCTAAATGTTAACTTAGAGAGGTAGGTAAAGGGGGGGGGGGTGTCGCTGCACACCCCCTCTTCAGAAAACACGCACTGGACTGTGAACCACAAGATCCGTGGTTCGGGGACCACTAGCTGCTCCTCAGGAGACAGAGAAGGCTTTCTGCTCCTGCGAACATTGAAAGCCTGAGAAACCCTAAACAGGATCTCTGTGAGTCGGAACCAAGTCGATGGCACTTAGTAACAACTGTAAAATGGATGAAACAGCTGCATTTTTACTGATTTTTAACCAAGGCCTTTTTCAAGCTCTGTGCTAAAGACTGTCATAATTGTCAGGAAACTTTCCCCATTACCCCATGGTGTTGTTTTGCAATCATGAACAGATGGTTTGCAGCACTCGCTAACATTTCCTGAACGCTAGTGGAGCTCTGGTAGCGTGAGTGGTTACGAATCCGGCTGCTACTCTCACCGTCAGGAGTTCGAAACTACCAGCTGTTCCACGGGAGGAAGACGAAGGTTTCTGCTCCCGTAAAGATTTACAGCCTCGGAAAGCCTGTACAGGGTCGCTATGAGTCGGAACCGATTCCACAGCACATAACAACACCAAGTGGAGTCCTGGAGACCTGGTGGGGCGCTGCGGGTTAATGCGAGGGGACTGCTAAGTTCAAACTCACCGGCCGCTCCTTGGAAACCCTATACAAGGTGGCTACGAGTCGGAACCAACTCAAAGGCACAAAACAACAACCTTTTGAAAAGCCCAGTGGTGTGAGATTTACAGGCAGGAAATCTTTCCAACAGTTCTGGAGGTTCAGCCATTACAGGGCCTTTGTCATGGAGAAAAGTACGGCTGGGAGGGTAGGCCTCCCCCTCAAGCAGAGCTGAAAAGAGGATGAGGTCAGATGTGACTCCAAAGCCAGTGCTTACCACACATCCTGCAAACTGTTCTCTCTTTAGAAGTTGTTGCCAACTACCCAATGTAGGGTTGCCGAGGAGCAGCTGGTGAGTTTTGAACCGCCGACTTTGCGTTTCAAATTGACCTTGTGGTACAGTACTTATCCTATCGTGCCACACCAGGTCCCCTCAAAGAGGCAGAGCGCTCCGGACTCCACAGTTGAATTCGGAATCCACTCTTCAACTTAAGAAAAGTAAAGTATCCAAAGTTCCCGTTTTACAACTTCAAACAGACGCCAAGTTCCTATAACCTGGAGTGGGGGGTGGGAGGGAGTAGACCAGAGCAGGCTCCCAGCAGCGTAGAAATGGGAGTGAGAAAAGGGTCAAGAGCCTATGAATTGAGCCAATCCGAACGTCAGGCACCCACCAAACCCACGGCCATCAGGTCCTCTGACCCCAAAGGACAGAGCTCAACTGCTGCATAGGGGTTCCCAGGCTGTCCGTCTTTACCGAAACAGATGACGGATTCAAACCGCCGACCTTTCGATTAGCAGCCCAACACTTAAGCGACGGCACCAGCAAAGCTCCTTAAACTCGCGCACAGGGATGGAAATACTGAGAAACTAAAGTAACATGAAACTAACAAAACGAAAATAACAAGACAGCCGAAGGCGACTAACAGGTTACCTATCTATCAGCTGCAGCGCAAAGGAAGCTGTGACGTCGGGTGCTCTGGTTTGTTAAGACCACACGAGGCGAGCGAGGCAGCCAGCCGAGCCGCAGCGCAGAAAGAGCGCTGACTCTCGGTTTTCTTTCAGCTGTGCTCCTCCGCGATACAACAGAAGCAGCGCCATTCCCCTAGCGAAGCGCTTCTCACGTGACGGTGCCTTTGCAAACACTGCAAAGTGTTTTAAAGCGCCCGAGAAGAGGAAGGTGTCAAGGTTCCTGGGAACCTGATGCAATGAGTCCTTCCTCTTTTCACTGACGCTCAGGGCAAAGTCAGCCAGCGTTGTCCTAATCGCCTCCAGCACCCAAGTGTGTGCCAAGTCACAGCGCGTTATCGGCCCCAGCACCGCCGACGGCACCAGTGCTTATCGGCTCCAGTCCTCACCGGCCCGGCTCGCCGACCCGAGAGCTCTGTCCGCCCCGCCGCGCTTACCTGCCAAGCTCCCGGCCCGGGCTCAGGCTGTAGGCGTCCTGGAAGGGCTCGGCACACACGGCGGTGCGGATCTCCGTCAGCAGCCCACGAGCTTGGGGCGGCGGCCGGCGCATCGCGCTGGGACCCCGGACCGCCGGGTCCGAGGCGGCGGCTGAGGAAGAGTCACCGGCTCCCGGCTTCTCCAGCGGGATCATGGTGTTCGGGCGCGCGGTTCGCTACGAGCTGCCGGCCGGTAACGGTCCGGCTCGGCTGCCTCGTGCGGGTACGAGGAGCCGCGTACCTCTCGCTTTCTCTGGCGCCGAACTCTGAATACTGCGGGCTGGCTCTGGGCTGTCCCAGCCGTCCCGCCCCTTCGTCTAGCCCCGCCCCTCGGTTCGGCCCCACCCTGTGTTCCGACCGGTTCCGCCCCTCGGTCGGCTCTGCTTCCCCATTTGGCTCCACCCCCTCATTGAGCCGTGGTGGGGCTTTTCCTGTCAGGTGCCTCACGAGCGCCCTCTGGTGCTGGCTGGGGGGAAGGGACCACCGCACGGCCTGGAAAACGGCACCTCTCTGTCCGCCGAATTGTGCACCTGTTGCCTATCCACTAGTTCACAAATCCGACTCCTTCGTTAAAGAAAGGGTATGAGCTGTGAGTTGGGGCTTAACGATCTTTCCATTGCATCTAAAGAGACGTTGATACCATAATTGAAGCAGAGCGTTATGCTGGGAAGTTTCCCCTAACACCTGCCTGTTTCCTGCCTATACTGGAAAGAGGGGTTTGGAGGCAACAGTACAAACGCCTGCAAAAACAGCAAGTAAGGAACTTGGAATTTGGAAAACTCATTCCCTTTTGGTCCTACATGAAAGATAACAGAGACCTGGGAACCTTTATTCCCTTCTGCTTTTGTTACCTTGTCTTATTAATAGTTTTCAGACGGCCATCCTCCAATTCCCAGATAAATTCTGGACATTTTGTCTTATTCAACATTAAAACCTAGCCATGAGGTAGCATATGCCTGGGTACCGTCTGTCCAGCACCCTGTGCTCAAGGAAAAAGTGTCAATTTTAGGTAAACATGGGAAACGCTGTGTGTGTTGTGCGGCCTGAACATATATTGGTCATTTGAGACTTCCAATTACCCATCAAACCCTACTTTTATGTAGATAGTTTACTTCGCTTTATCATTAAAATGTAGACATCTATCCGCTTAAAGGTACTCTGGTAGTGTAGTGGTTATGAATCGGGCTGTGAACCGCAAGGTCAGCAGTTCGAAACTACCAGCTGTTCCATGAGACAAAGACGAGGCTTTCTGCTCCTGTAAAGATTTACAGCCTCGGAAACCCTGTGCAGGGTCGCTATGAGTCGGAACTGACTCCATGGCACATCACCACCACCACCACCAAACCTCACTGAAACGCCCAGTACCATGAACACTTCCTGTGGCCTTTGGTCTTGCTAATTCTACAAGATGAGACATGTGTTTTCCCATCGCGACCTAGCTCAAGGTGAATCAATGTTTAATCACTTATACCTGGGTGCTGGGTTTATGGATTGCTGCCAAATCTTCCCGATGATGGTTTCCACGTGTATATCAGGTGTTAGAAGATATGTTACACCTAATAGGTGCAGAGAGATTGTCTAAGAAAAATATGAGCTGATATTCTCATGGTGTGTTTGTGCTCCATAGAGAAATTTTATTTTAATGAATAAACTGACAAAGATTTGAGAGTCATCTCAAGATAAAAAGGCCTAATGGAACTGTGCTGCTGGGGAGATCATGTCAGAGAACCAAAAAGAAAGAGTCAGAAATATGAGTATTTACACTTTTTAAAACATTAAAAGAAACTGTCCCTTTCATTTTCTTATTTTTAATCTTGCTTCCTTAGATGTGGTCACGCAGCAACTTTAGTTTCTTACTCTTGCTGTTTCTCCATGCTTTATTAAATATTTATTGAGCACTTACTGCCTGTCAGGCACCAGGTGTCTAGTGATGCAGTATTCAACAACACAGAAATAGTTCTTGGTGGTAGGAGGAAAATACAGTAACTATATAATTGTATAAATACATCTGTCTAACCCATCAGAAATCAAAGTGAGGATTCCTATTAATTAATTGTAGCACAGGTCCCCATGTGGGAAAACTTTCTCTGAAGAGGTGACATTTAAGCCAAGACCCAAGGAAGGCAAGCAATCACTAAAGACAAGATTGAAGGAGGAAGTTAAGATAGAGAAAGCATTTTTCAGGGTGCTGAGAAAAGAAACTGCTTGGGAGTTAAAGGCACTAGATAAAGTAGCTGATAACATTCTAATTACATTAAGTGTTTTGTTAGAATTCTCATTAAGGTTTATTGACCCATCACTTCCTTCATTCATTCATTCATTTAACAAGCAGCAGACACTGTATTAGTAACTGAGAGTACAAAAGCAAGTGAACTGTCACAAAAATACAGAGAAACAAAAACATTTACACAAATATACAGTTTTAAAGAATTACACAAAATATACAAAATATACACAAAGAATTACACAAATATACAGTTTTAAAAAATACATAAATATACAGTTAAAAAGAGTTGTGATTACTTGGTAGAAAAAGTACAGAATGCAATAAGGAATATAACAGTGGAAGCTTTCAGCAGTCTTGTGGGACTGGTAAAACAAAAAATTAAAGTTAAGGACCTATTAAACAGACATTGTAAGCTTTCATTTGGGACGCTGAACAGCTACATTCTAGAAGCATGAGTAAAAAGGAAAAAAAGCCAGTTCTCTGGAGGACTGAAGACTCTCCTAACACGGAAGTAAACCCCCTCTGCAGGAAAACACCATCATCCAGAGCTGCAAATTAGCTGCAAGATGTCTCATACACAATGCCTGGCACTTAATTTTTACAGAGGCACACAGAAAGAATTGTCTTTAAAATTAAGAGAAAAAGACTGAAAACAATAAATAAATGATGGGAGATCCAGATCTTGAAGTTTAAATTAAGATTTTAAATGTTCTGTGTAATATTATCAAGAAATTAAATTACAAAGTGGAGAAATTTAGCAGAGAACTGAAAACCCCAAATAAAGGTAAAATGGGATTTGGGAATTAAAAAAGCCAAAAACCAACCAAAAATCCCACTTACTAAAATTACTACTAAATAGGTAAGTTTATTAACAGATTATTGTCATTGTTGTTAAGTGCCATTGAGTCAGTTCCGACTCATAGCAACCCTGTATAGGGTTTCCCACGAGCAGCGGGTGAGCTTGAATTGCCAACCTTGCAGGCCAGTGCATTAAACAGCACCACCATGCTAGGACTCCATTAACAGATTAGAAACAGTTTAAGAAAAGGAAAAAAAAAAAATGAGGTCCCTGGGTGGCCAAAGTGGTTTGAGATTTACTGCTAGCATAAAGACTGATGGTTGGAACTCACTTAACAATGCTACAGAAGAATGCCTGGCAATCTTCTTCCATAAGGATTACAGTCAAGAACACACCATAGAGCAATTCTACTCTGCCACATATGTGATTGCCATGAGTTAAAATCGAGGTGACAGTAATGAGTTTGTCCAAGAATTTTAAAAACCAACGTAAGACAACACCTCACACAAGCAAGAAACATGAATTTTAAGCAAATAAACCCTATTTAGGCAGATAATAGTACAACACTGAGAAGCAAATATAAAGAGACAATCTTGAAAACAGATATACAAGGGGCTTTAACAAGTTTGTGGAAACATTTCATTGTCTTTTAATTTCCTTTTTCTACAAAACTTTTGAAACTCCCTCATAGTATATTTAAAGATCTACAGTAAGATCAAGAACTTATTCACAAAAAAATGGAGGCCTAAAGATCTTCAAGTATCTTTAATTTGCTGACAATCTTGATGATAAACCCAAGAAAAATATTCTTTAAAATTGAAAGCTTTCTGACAAGACTGGCAGGCTTCCCAACTCCTCTACAACAAAGACACAAGAGACTGGATGAAGCAGATATGGATGATAATCTTGTAACCCTAAACTTCAGAGGACAGGATACAGAAGTGGATCTAATACTGACCAAGAAGCTGAACAAAAATGGTGAATAAGAAAACAAACGGAATAGTGATTTGTCAGCCAGCCTGACACAGTGTGGCCATTTTGAAGTTTCGCAAGTTGTGTTCTGGTTGGGGCAATGACCTGATAACTAATTGGCTTCACTTGCCCAGGACTGTATAAGTACCACACGAGTGGTGGGTGACCAGAAAGGTGCAATCTTCCCCTTGCTCCCCACCTTCTCAGTGGCCAGAAGTATGGACAACTCCTGACCCATATCTGCCAATTGGTTGGTAACACCCCCTTTCCTTCTAATCCTTCCTCCTATAGTCCCTGTTCTGCCTGGGGTAGGACTCACACCCTCATGCATCAGGTATATCCCTGTGTTTGGAGGCATGCACTCTTCACCTCCTCAGGCCAGCAAAACTTGAAGTGTCAGACAGGTACCCTGCTTCCAGCCAACCTTGGGTTACCAGGAACTCCTTTCTGGATCAAGTGTCCTGACCCCCCAGCCACCATCTGAGCCAGGAAGAAGATCCAGGCATCCCCTGGGTCAGCAGGAACTCCTTACATAAACTGGAACCCAGCCCCTAGTCACCTTTTAGATCAACAGAAACTCATCTTAAGACTGGGCTCCTGTACCCACCACCCTGCTTCCTCCTATGGCAGGAGCATTGTCTGTGTGTCCTCCCCTCCAACACCAAACTTCTGGTTTTCTTTATTTGTCCTTTCTTCTGTTTTTCTTTTACTTTTTCCATTTTCTTCTTTTTAATTTTCTTGTATTTTTCTTTACTCTTCTTCCCCTCCTTCCTTAGTTGTTTTGTCTTCCCTTTTTCTTTTTTTAAAATGTATATTGCTATTTTCTTTAATCTTGTTGTTGTAACTTGTTTTCCCTTCATTTTTCTTTCTTTAATTATCATTTTCTTTGTTGTTGTTGTTGTTGTTGATTTTTAAATCTTTCTCTCTCTCTTTGCCCCACCTGGTGCGAAACAACAATGATGCTCACAGTGGCCAGTCCCACCCATACCTTCTGCAGTTTTGCCCACTGGGTGAAGGCTATAACCAATTCGTGTTTGCTGTTGTTGTTGTTAATAGTGCCATCGAGTCAGTTCTGACACATAGTGACCCTGTATAGGGTGTCCAAGGAGCAACTGGTGGGTTTGAACCACTGACCCTGCAGTTCAAACGGACCTTGT